TCACGTCCAGGTGGAGACTGCTCCCCAGGATCAACTATACAATTTACAGGGCTAGATACACAATGAAATATCAGGAGCAATTCAAAAATTGAATTACAAGACAGAACCATAGGCCATTAAGCAAATGTGGCCTCCTCTGAGCATGAGGCCCATTGTGATGTCAGGCCTCCTGCCCAGGAAGCTGCCCTGCTGCCCACAGAAAGGTAACTCAGCCAGTGCCTATGCATGTGTTAGAGGAACCACCAGCAGAGTCCACTCCCGGGTACAGAGGGCCCCTCCGTTGATCACTCGGCTAGCCTCCAGGGTGCCAACTACTTCCAGACCTCCTCTGAGGCGGTGGTTAAGCCAGTAAGGGCCAGCCCCAGGAAGCAATCCGGGTTGCCTCCTGCCAGGCAACTCCAGGTGCCCAATGACAAGGGTGGGTGCCACGGTGACTGGGAACCATTCTGCAATCCCAGCACCCCGCCTGCTGGGCGTTTGCTCGCAACCATTTAGAAAACATTTCTGTGAGCCCCCCAAGGTGCTTAAAATGCAGTCCAGACAAGGCTGTGGGTTTGAGCGATCACAGCTGTATTTAAAGATTGCGTAAGAGAATCACAGCAGCTTTTCTACAGAGGCCAGGAGACCTGCCCGGAGCTCAGGACCGCACGGAAACACTCGTGCAGGCTCCATGAAGGTAAGAGAATTGCCCTAAAGCCTCGAGAGCTGCAGGGCTCTGGGATGCGTACACGCAAGGCTGCTCATCACGTGCAGACATTTGGCCAACAGGCCTTCCTTTGAAGTCCTGGCAGAGCTGGGGCAAGCTCTCTGCTGGAGAACATGTGGCTGTCAGTGGGAGGAGGGTGGAATGGAGGCCTGTCACTCCTCCCCCAAGGTGAAGCTGCTCCTTTGTTTTCCCTATAGAAATGCTGCTAACTCAAAAGCTCTGAAGGCTGCTCTACTCTTTATTGTCTTCACAAAACTCAGGACAGTGCTTAAAGCCATGGAGAAAAGGGCCTAGTTTGTATGCTTCTTGTTGCCCTTGAATGAGATAAGAAGGAGGATGATTTGGGTAACGGTGGGCATGGTCTAAATCAGTGGTTCTCAAAGTACAGTCCCCGGACCAGCATTATCAGTGAGCTGCAAACTCTTAGAAATGCAGATGCTAGAACTTGCTCCTTACTGCAACATGATACCCAGTGACCAACCTCTCTTCTGCTCTCCTCAGCCTCCAGTAACCACAACTGTATGCTCAAGTTCAATGAGATCAACTTTTTGGATGCCATATGTGAGTTCTGGCTTATTTCACTTGACATAATGTCCTCCAGGTTCATCCATGCTGCAAATAACAGGATTTCATCCTGAGGGTGACTACAGTTGACAATAAAATAGCAAAATGTTTCAAAATAGCTCAAAGAGCGGATTTTGAATGTTCTCACCAGGAAGAAATGATAAATGTTTCAGGGGATGAATATGCTAATTACCCTCATCTGATTATTACACAATGTACACATGTATCAAAACATCACATTGTATTCTATAAATATGAACAATCATGTGTATCAATTTTTTAAAAAATGAAATACAGATTCTAGATGTCTCTAAATCTATGAAGCAAAAACCCTGAGGACCAAGATCAGTAATCTGTTTTGACAATTGCTCTTGGTGATTCTGATGCACCCCTGGTCAAAAATAGACCTTCATTGCCTTCATGTTAGTTTGCTAGGGATGTCACAATGGAATGCAGCAGACTGGTGGCTTATACAACAGAAATTGTCTTTCTCATGGTTCTGAAGCTCAAGGTGCTACAATTGTTGCTTTCTAGGGAGGTCTCTGTCCTTGGCTTGCAGATAGCTGCCTTTTTATTGTGTCCTTGTGGGGCCTTCCTGGATGCCATAGCACCCTGGTGTGGCTTCCTCTTCTGTTGTGGACACCAATCATGTTAGATTAGGGCTCCACACTTGTGGCCCATGTTGTCTGAATCCCCCTCCTTAACAAACCTGTCTCCAAATAGAGTCACGCTGAGTGTTAGAGCTTCGATATATGAGTTGGGAGGGACCCAAGTAGTCCATAACCGTCCACTCTCATATCACTAGTTTTCAACATTATACTTTTTTAAGGACTAGAATAACACACAGCCGTAGATCTGGCAAACTTCCATTTGCTGGGTACTGTGCTAAGTGCTTTGCATGAGTATCCATTACTATCCCTACTTGGCCATTTGGGAAATAGGCTTGGGGTTGAGTTATTTGCCAAACCTCACAAATGATAGCAAAACCAGGCTCTAAACACCAGAAGTCTGGCTCCAAAGTATGAGCTCTTAACCCCTAGACAGGTAGTAGACCTAGGTCTCTTTCACCATTCTTATGTGTTACTGTTGTTGTTATCAGCATATTATGCATATTTTTATTCTTTTATATAGCTGTATAATATTACATTTGTGGATATGCCTTCATGTAATCAAACATTCCTCTAATGTTAGAAATCTAGGGTTTTTCCTAGGCTTTAGTTTTTGTTTTGTATATATTTAATATACTATATGATGTTTTGATATACATAGTAAAATGTTTACTACTCCAAGCAAATTAGCATATGCATCATCTTATATGGTTACCCGTGTGTGTGTGTGTGTGTGTGTGTGTGTGTATGTTAAAAGAACCTAAAATCTCTCCTTAACAAATTTCTGATATGCAATTCAATAGTACTAACTCTAATACTGTGTTGGTCAGCTTTCCATCGCTGTGACACAATACCTGAGAGAGTCAATTTAGAAGAGGAAATGTTTATTTTGGCTCACAGTTTGACTGTGACGGTTGCAGCCCATGGTCAGTCAGTTGGTGCCTTTGTCTTGGGGCCTGTGGCCGGCAGAGCATTATGGCAAGGAGCGCATGGTACAGCAAAGCTAATTGCCTCATGGGAACCAGTAAACAGAGAAGCATTTGGGTCCCAATATTCCCTTCAAGTGCATTCCTCTAAGTGCCCAGTGAACCCCACTTTCTAAAAGTTCCACCATCTGTCAACAGTGCCATGGGCAGGTAATAAATGAAACTTCAGGGGATATTCTAGACAAATTTTACAGTCTTCCTACAGTACATTAGACTTCTAGAGACTTCTCCTACATAACTGCAACTTTGTACACTTTGACCTTCTTCTCTTCTCCTCTCCCCCAAGTCCCTGGTAACCACCATTCCATTCTGGGTTTTTTTTTTTTTTTTTTTTTTTTTTTTTGCGTTCAACTTCTGTTTATTTCAATTTCACATGTAAGGACATACAGTGTTTTTCTTTCTGAATCTAACTTGTTTTCACTTAGCATAATATCCTCCAGGTTCATCCATATCACAAATGGCAGGATCTCTCTCTTTTTTAAAAAAGCTGAGTAGTATTCCATTGTTTACATATGCCACAATTTCTTAATCCTTTCACTCATCAATGGACACTTAGGTTGATTCCATATCTTAGCTATTGTAAATAATATTGCAATGAACATGGGGTACAGATGTTTCCATGAGGTACAGATTTCATTTACTTTGGGTATATTCCCAGAACAATGATTGCTAGGTTCATATAATATATCTTTACTTATTTTTAATTTTTTTAAAGATAATTTTTTAAAGATTTTTAAAGATAATTTATATGGTTACCAACTATACAAGGGTTCGCCTTTTTCCCACACCTTTACCAACACTATCTCTTGTTCTTTTTTTTTGGTGCTAAAGATTGAACCCAGGGCTATTTGAATGCTAGGCAAGAGTTCTATCACTGAGCTGCACTCCCAGACTATCTCTTGTGTTTTTGATAAGAGCCATCCTAACAGGTGTGAGGTGACATCTCACTGTGTTTTTAATTTGTACTTTGTGATAAGTGAGGTTGAGTGCATTTTCATATGTCTACTGGCCATTTTTATGTCCTCTTTGGGGAAATTTCTATATTAGTTCTTTATCCATTTTTAATTGAATCATTTGGTTTTTTGCCATTAAGTTGTGTTGAGCTCCTTATGTGTTTTGAATATTAACCCTTTATCAGATATAATGTTTGCAAATATTTTCTCCTAGTTTGTAATCCGCTTTTCATTTGGTTTGATATTTCCTTTGTTATGTAGAAGCTTTTAGTCTGATGTAATCCAACTTGTTTATATTTGCTTTTGTTGTCTGAGCTTTTACTGAAAGCCAAAAAATTATTAAGACCAATATCATTCAACTTTTCCCAGATGTTTTCCTATAGGCTGTGTAGTAGAAAAAAATTTGCTAGTTCTACATTAGCTACTTGTCCTTTTTGAGAACTAGAAGAAAATAAAACTCAAATTAAGCTTAATAACACAGAATCTGCCAGCTGTATTCCAACTGCTTAATTAAATGGGACTCAATCACAAGGTAGTCATGTTTATTTTATCCACAGCATGGATAGAACATAAGAGAGGAACTCTCCTTGGCTCTTCTGCTTTCTGAAACAAGAAGGGAAAAGACAACACCAGTGAATTTTCCAAAACAATACCTTTTTTGGGGGGCGGGGAGCAAAAGAGAAACTAGTTGCAAAGGATCTAGAGTAGGAAATTCCCTGCACAACAGTTAAAACATGGCAATTTCAAGAGAGACATAAAGAAAGGTGGAGTCAGACTGCTTCCTAGGTTTAAGAATCCAGCGTCACAGATTGTCAAGGATTATGTCTTATGCCTCAGCTCCAGCAAATTCAGTAACGAGGTATACTAGAGGAGAAAGACCTGAGTTTCCTCCAAAACAGATTGCTACATCCCTCCCATTGTGAATCCCTAAAATAACTCTGCTGTGCCTTAATGAGACATGGTTGGGATGGAGGATGCTCACAGTAACGATATTGTTTCACATGTACCTGTAGCACTTCAGCAACTATGTCCCAAACAACCCAGATACAGAACCACAATTTGGTTCTGTATCTGGGTTGTTTGGTGTGATACAGTTCCAAACAGGACTTAATTGAAATATATTATAAAGAAGTCCAAACAGGACTTCTTTATAATGGCAGCTCCCATTTATTAACAACTTACTGTGTGTGAGCCATTATCCTAACTGAACAGTAAAGGGAATGGGAACACACACCAGTTACTGCATAGCTTGTTTGTTCCCAGTTATACTGTTGGTAACTGAAGGCACCAGAATTCCTCCTAGGCCATCTGTGCTAGAGCCAGGGCTTTTACCCAGAGTTCCACCTCCTCTCAAATGCAAACTGAAAAGAAATTTGGTACTTACAGAAGTGTGTCAAACACTTCTACTTTAACCAATAACAGAAACCAGGATCTGAAAGGAGCCACAGAAGTTCACCTGGTTTGGCCCCTTGGCCACAATCCAGAGACGGTGTCACCACCAGTAGACGAAATGGCCAAGGTTCTTAGGAAAAACAAAACAAAACCTGACCAAGTTTATTCAACCAATAAATGGTGGCTAAATCAACAAGCATGTATTAAGTGTGTGTTCATTTTACTGAGTCTTGTGGATCATAAATCAGAGGAATTTCCAGGAGCTTTGTGGGGCCTCCTCACTGGGGTCTGTTTGGACCACCCCAAGGCTGGGATCGCCATTCTGTGGGAGCCTGGCTCTTACCCACAGGACTCCCAGGGCCTGGCACATAGTTTCTTTGCTGGTGGTTGTGCTGGCCTGGGCCCATGGGTAGCTGGGAGGCCTCTCTGTACACATACCCACCCCTTTCCATGGCTCCTTGCAGCTGAGAACAGGGCTGCTGCCAACATCTAATGGAATACCCACCCCCAGAAAGCAGGACTGTAGGCAGTGGCCCTTGTGGGCATGGCTGGGTTATAGGACATCTACAAAGAGGAGCCAGGACAGACATGACCTTGGAACCAAAGAACCATCTCTTGGTGGGAGACCATCTCTTGCTGCTGTTTGGCATGAAGTGAAAGGTCTGATGAGGACACCAATGTGTACTTGAAGTGACTTACTGGAGAAACAAACCTCTGCTCCCTGGAACCAGACTGGCATCCCTCCTAAAATGTCTAACGGCACATGTGGTCTCAACTAGCAGTGCTGGGAAAGGTGAGTGCCTGGGACACAGGGGGTAATGACTCACGCATGTCCTGCAGGCCCTGAGGAGGGGAGCTGGTGATGTGTCATATGCTAGGGGATTTTGTATGAGAGAGCCTCTTAAAAGGGTGAGGTGACCCCAAGAGAGAACCACCCAGAAATCAGAGACCTGGGGTAGGAGGCAATCTTAGCTAGTTGAAAGAGGCCCCTCCTCAATGGACATTCAGATGGGAAATCTTCAGTGCTGAGGGTTCCAAACAGCCCAGGGGCCAAGCCAACCTTGGGGCACACAAAAACAGAGAAGGCCCTAATGCTGACTTTACCCATTTTCTCTTATTCCTCCAAACTCCCCACTACCAACACCCAGTCCTGACCCCGAGAACAAAACTGGACCTTCCAGTAGTGGAGGCGGTGAGGAAGGGAGAAGAGATGACCAGGTCCTTTCTACAGAGGCAGGTCAGAGCTGAGGGGACAGAAAACATTCTCACTGGATAATTTTAGGGTTTTAATATGGGACAGGACTGGACTTGTAATATTTGAAAATGACCAAGCATCCATAAAATCTGAGATTTTACTCAATGGGCGCTGAAGATGAATTCAAGTCCTCAGAGTTTTTGATGGGTAAGAACTGGAAAGGCAAACATTGCTTTCTGGTTAGAATTTTTGATGTTTATTTCACTCAATCATATATAAACATCTCTCTCTCCCTCTCTCTCTCTCTCTCTCTCTCTCTCTCTCTCTCTCTCTCACACACACACACACACACACACACAAGCACACACACCTCTCTTTCCAAATATTTCAAAAGTACGAGGAAGTCCAAATAGGCAGGTTGGTGCTGGGTGGTTCAAAGATGAGGTGGTGTTACAATAGTTGCAGGAGCGTCAGGTCCACCCAGATTGAAGATTGGAAGTAACCAATGCCAAGGTTATTTCTTGGGTCCTTTGTGAAGAGATCCTGGCCAAATGACGTCAAGAAGGTAACAAGAGCACAGAGGATGGGGGATGGTGTGTTCAGGCAGAAAACTCCGTGTGGTCGATTCAGGGCCCAGTGCTATTTTGTAGCAGGTGATCAGGTAATTCCATTTCTTCTAGTGGACATTTTGTGGGCTGTCTCACATTGTACCTGGAACCATTAGGACATACAGGTGGCATTTTCAAGTAGTAAGCATTTCCATCACCTAAGTGAATTTATGAGTAGGGAAAATCATGAAATAATACTCATAAAATACAATCAAGTTGCCCTCTCTTAAAAGACTCCATCCTTCACAGAAGAGAGATTTTGTGTAGTCACAGACAACTTATTTTCTACTAGAGCCTGTTTCTAATAGAATCATGTGTTCACTTTTTGTCACTGTGACCAAAATTCCTGACCAGAACAACTTAGAGGAGGAAAAGTTTATTTTGGCTCATGGTTCCAGACCCTTGGTCAATGGTCAGCTGACTGCATTGTTCTGGGCCCCAGGTGGGGAGAATGTCATGGCAGCAGAGAATGGTGAAGGAGAACCACTCACCTCATGGTGGCCAGGAAGCAGAGAGAGAGGGAAGGGGCCACAGGGAAGCTGCACCCTTCTAGGGCATGTACCCAGTAACCCCCTCGTCCAGATATGCCCCTCCTGCCTACAGTTACCACCCAGTCAGTCCATTCAAACTAAGATGGTCTGATTAGGTTACAGCTCTCAAGATCCAATCATTTCACCTCCAAATATTCCTACATTAATACAGGAGCTTTTTGGGGATACCTCATATCCAGACCATAATAAATCTCTAATTCAAGATGGTAGACATGTTTAATGAAGCAGAATCAATGTCATTTTCTATAGATTAACATACTCATACTGGAGTATGGGTTGTCCTTTGCTTGACTTGGGGGTTTCTTTGGAGAATTTTTGGTAGTCAGCTGTAAAAATATGCTATATATTTTAAGCACCAAAAATTTTTAGAGTGCACACACAGTCCTAGAAAAAAGAAAAAAACTATGATCTTAAACACTGTCTCAAACTTTGTAATGATACTAAACCTTATGTATCATTAACACTCAAAGACCCCCAAATACAGAGTGTTAAATAAGATGGGAGTTTTCTTCTCTCTTATATAAAAGTCCAGAGTGAAGCAGGTGGTCTTGTGCTGGCAGTTGGCTCAAATCCATGGCTCTTCCAAGCGTCTAAGTTTGGGCTCCCTACACGCCTCAGCATGTGGCTTCACTTTTGAGTTCAAGAATGCAGCTCTGAATGCCACTGATACCATTGCCCGGTGGCTAGAAGATGACCCAGATGTTGCACACATCACACTGCCTTAGCCCCAGTGTGGCCACAAGTCTGCATCCAGCTGCAAACAAGGCTGGGAAATATGGTCTCTCACTAGACACCCATGTGCCCAGCTGGAACCCAGGGATTATATTTCTAAGTGAAAAACGAGAGATTGAATATGGAGAGTGACAGGGTGGGGTTGACAGGAGTCTTCTCTGTGCCTCAGCAATTGCTGAATGAAAAGATAATTTCATTGGACATTTATTGACTGCTTCCTGTGTGCCAATGTTCTAGTTTACCCTAATTTTCCAGGAAAAAAGGCCTTGTGAGTGTAAAACCTTTAAAAGGAAAATCCTAACCTATCTATAAGTAAACCAAATTCACAAGTAGGATCATTGCTTATGTATTTTTTTTTTGCAGGAAATTATGCCAGAGGCAAAGTCTTCTCTTTTCACTGGGTGTCAACAGAGTTAAAATGTTTTGATCCCCCACAGGTGATATGGCCCTGCTGAGCTCGTGGGGGTGTACAGACCTGGTGCCATATTCACTAGGTGCTTGGAACCAGACCATTTTGTTCTGGCAGGAAAATTAATGCCAGGATTGCAAGTGGTTGTCACAAGGGCTTTGCTGTGTGTCACTCTCTCCTCATTCTCCTATTGCCCAAAACAAACACTCTAACGTTGTCCTACGGAGAGAGATCTAGGCTAGGAGGCAGGAGCTGGAGGTGATAGTGGCTCCACTCCTTAACAGTTGTGTGACCTAAGGAAACAACAGGACCTAGGTTTCTGGTCCATTCATTCTTCTGGCAAGCATGAATTGTCACCTGCACAGCAGGCTCAGTGCTCTGTCCCTGAAGGTGTTCTCCACGTCCTAACTTCTTGGATCTTCACAATGCCGTGGGTAACCTGGCCTCAAGAGACAACACAGACTCGGCTATACCCACGTCACATATGTAACGAAAACACACATTGAGGACATTGGTGTTTGTGGCAGAAACTGCTGATTATCTCCCAGTATCCATTCTTCTGTTTTTCCTATTGTAATCAAATCCCTGATTGTGAGTTGGACGTGAGGCTGCCCCTTCACTTCTCTCTGATAGCAACTAAGTATGGTCATGCAACTAAGTTCCGGCCCGTGGACTGTGGAGAGAAGCTTCCAAGTCTTTTCTGAAAATTAAGAAGAGTTGTGTCCTCCCATTCATTTTCCCTGTTTCTGCCGGCTGGGATGTGTGCATGGTGGTGAGTCATCTTGGACCTGTGGAGGAGAGTGACACCCAAAGATGGCAAAGAAACAAGATGAAGAAGCCTGGTACATACCCAGCGTTACTATTCTATTCCTCTGTAGTAACTCATCCCCGACTGTAGTGGCTTCAATATTCCTGATCTCACAAATTCTCCTGGTCAGGAACCAGGTGGTTCTCCTGGTCTCTGAATCAGGGTCTCTCATGAGACCACAGTCAGGGGATTGGCCCCAACTCCTGCATCTCAGCATTCAGTTGGGGGAGGATCTATTTCCCAGCTCCTTCACAGGGCTGTTGGTAATCCCAGATGGCTGTTGACCAGGGACATCAGTTCTTGGCTAAGTGATCCTCTCCACAGGGCAGGTGATTCCATGGCAAGTGGCTTTCCACTGAAGGATCAAGAAAATGAGTGGGAACAAGACAGAGCAAGGGAGAGACAGGAGGATGGAAGCCAGTCTTTTCATAGCCCAATCTCAGAACAGACATCTCATCACTTACACCTGTGCTATTTGTTAGAAGAGAGTTATTGGTCTTACCCACAGGCCAGGTCATGATGCAAGGCCATGAGTTCCAGGAGGAGAGGATCCTGGGAGCCACTGGAGAGCCATCTGCTGTACATCCTGCCACCGAGGAGTGGCTTCTTGTAGCTGGTCTGCTGAAGCTACAGCATGATGTGAAAGTGAAATAAATAACGAACCGTCTTCTTTAAAGACGGGGTCTGCATCTGAGCAGCCAATGTGTTCCAATCAATTTGACTCTTCTATGGAACATTTCCCCAACTTGTGAGGACCCTAGAGCAGGTGTTTTCTGGAAGATCTGCCCAGCTATATCCCTTTCATCTTCCACTCTGCCTCACCTCCCCTTTTTGGAGATTCCCATAATCATTTTTATAACTACTTGCCTCCAACTAATTGAAGAAAGGGTCAACAGACAAGCCAAGGTAGGCTAAATCCTCCCTGTGGGCATTTGGAGTTAGGATCCAGAAACCCCTATGAGTGTCCCTTGAGGACTGGACTCCAGGTGAAGCTAGGACTGATTGGATCTGCTTGTGGGAAAGCGAGGAAACCCGTTTGCAGAGAGAGAAGGAAGAGGCGAATGTCAGAGAGTAGGCTTCCAAATGGACTCAGTTCCTGGCTTCCTGTTGTGGGACTTGCTGGAGCCCGTTTTAGCCCCCATCCTCAGCTGTGTGAGATATCCCTGCTCCATTCCAGAACTGTCCTTTTTGCTCCTCTCCACACCTTAATAAAGACTCAACCAGCTTGAAAGTAAAGAGTCTCTGACTAATAAACCCCTTTGCTTTGTTGAGTCCCACACCCAACGCCATTGCAGCTCATGGCATCCTGGTATGCTCTGCAACACCTCTACCAGGAAAAATAATAAATTCTTGCCTAAAAGCACATGTGATGGGTCATCTTAGCTCACCCAGGAAAGAATAGTGCAAGGAAAAACATTGCATTGATATATGTCTGTATGTCTGTGAGGTGAGTCATTGCTTTGTTGGAGGTCAACAGGAGATGTCTTCGTGCAAATAGGTGACAAAGAATCAAAGGAGTCATCTTTTCTTGCTTCAGCTCCCTGTTCACTCACATGCTGCTTATCTAGACTGTGTGTCCTTGTGTGAAGTTGTAGAAAGAGCCCCCCAATCTCTGAGCAGTCCCCAGCCGGTTCCCTGGAGCAGCTTTGCTCTTACTCCTTTTGAATTCCCTGATGGCACTTGAAGAAGCAGTCTGGGCTCTGGGAGAGCATCTCTCTCCACACATTCCCTCTGTGTGCTACTTTCTGGATTGTTTACTCTGGAATCCAGGCCAGGGTGCTGGGGATGGGTTGTATTTCTTTGGTGGAATTCTGCACTCCACTTCCCAAGTCACACTCTGCATTCTTTCGATGCCTCTTCCAAACTGGTGGTTGGTTTTGCAGCAAAGCTATTGGCTGCACAAGCCCAGGAAGAGTCTGTCCTCAACCTTGTCCTAACAGTTGACCCTCTAGTGTGGAAGGGGCCAAAGTAGGATATAGTAAACAGGAAGACGGCAGGCTTGGCCTAGCCTGGCCTGGCCTGGAGAGCAGGAAACATCAGCCACCATGCTCAACCCTGCCCCGGATCAAAACCTTCTGGGGTACAGCACCTCCCAGGCTGGTCCAAGGAGTGTTCTCAGCAGCTTGGGATTGTCAATACAGCAGGACAAATTTGTCCTAAGACACCAACTCAGGAATTTTTATGGTTTCTGAGCCTGGTGTGATAGATGGATAGACAGATGGAGGAGAAGAGGACAAGCAAAAGTTAGAAAGGAAAGAATGGTTGAGTGATGGATGGGTCCACTTTTTTCTAAACAGCTACTTGCCCCCATGCTACCTCAGATCCCCAAACCTTCCTGTCTGGGCTGTGTTTTTCCATTGGTATAATTTCTAACATGCTATACTTCACTTTCAGAGTTAACCTGTATTAGCTTTACGTGACTGTGACCAAAAACCCAAGAAGATCAACTTAGAAGAGGAAAAGTTTGTATTGGCTCATGGTTTCAGAGGTTCAGTCCATGGTAAGTCCATTCCATTCCTCTGGGCCCAAGGTGAGACAAAATATCATGGCAGAAGGACATGGTGGAGGAGCCCTGCTTTGCTTGTGGTGGCCAGGAAGGAGAGTGAGAGAGATAGCTGGAGGGGCAACTGGGAAGAAGAACCTTCCAGAACACACACCCAGTAACCTACCTCCTCCAACCACACCCCACTTGCCTACAGTTACCATCCAGTCAGTCCATTCAAACCAGGATGAACTGATTAGGTTACAGTTCTCACAATCCAATCATTTCACCTCCCGGTATTCTTGAATCAACACAGGAGCTGGGGATGGGTTGTATTTCTTCGGGGAATAAATCATACCTGAACCCTAACACAAATCATGGTAGAATTCAAGCTCTGTGAAGGCAGGAGGCTTTGCTCACTAACGGATCTCAGAGTCTAACAGTGCCAGGCACATAGCAGGTGTCCAGCAAGTATTTGCTGGACAAATGAATGGATGAATGGGTGGATTTCCCTAGTGATGTTTTGCATGATTTTCTTACTAAATTTCTTTCTCCATTTTCCTGCTGCTCTTCAAACTGAGAATGTCCTCTCTTAACCCTACCAGTCAACCCCACTCATCTTTCAAGTGCCAACACCAATGCCACTTTCGCTGTACAGCTGTGCCATTAAAAGCCAGGCTCTTGCAATCTGTATATGGGGTAAAAATGGGAGTTCATAACCCACTTGAATCAAAGTGTGAAATATGATATATCAAGAACTGTTGAGAGCCACAGCCGAAGGGGCCCCAGCAAACTTCCAGCTGCCAGCAAACTTCCAGCTGCTGGCTGATGATTGGCTCACAGCGGCCCCAGCAACATCTAGCTGATTGGCTCCTCTGCGGTGATGCTCATTGGGCTGTTTCCCTGCCCTTTCAGACCACAGAGCTGCTCATTGGGGGACTTTTTTGGCTCCGCCCACGTGACCCAGCCAATCGGCCTCAAGAGCAGGAGGATTGTGGGAGGTGGAGAGAAGCTGGTGTGGGAGAGAGAGGCTTGTGGAAAGCCGGTGGTGGCAGTTGAGGCTCCGAGGGTTTTTCCTGAGAGGCTGTTTTGTTTGGCGTGTGTGGTTCTAAAAATAAAGTTAGTTTCTTTTGACAAGTGGCTCCTGATTGTGCCCAGCCAGACTGTGGCATTATCTGTTTTTAACTGTTTTGGAACACCCACAGTGGCAAAATTTTGTAAGCAATGAGCTATAACATCTTTAGTTTTTTCTCCGGCATGAAGGGAGCCCATCAAAAATCCAGAAGAAGTATCAACTGTAACATGCAAATATTTTAATTTTCCAAATTCTGGCAAGTGTGTGACGTCCATCTGCCAAATATGGTTAGGTATCAATCCTCTAGGATTGACTCCAAGATTAACTTGTGGTAAAAAGGTCACACAATTTTGACATTGTTTTATTATTTGTCTAGCTTGTTCCTTAGTTATTTTAAAACGCTTTTGTAAAGTATTAGCATTGACATGGAACTTTTTATGAAAATTTATAGCTTCTTCTAGTGTAGAGAAAATATGTATGTCATGTGTAGTTTTATCTGCTAAATCATTGCCCAAACTAAGGGCTCCAGGCAATCCTGTATGTGCCCTGATATGTCCTATAAAGAATGGATCTTTTCTGTCCCAGATTAGACTTTGTATAGTGGAAAGCAAAGAGAAAACAGTAGAAGAAGGGGAAATCCTATCAGCATCTTCAAGAGATACTATAGCATTAACTACACACTGACTATCAGAAAATAAATTAAATACAGAATCTTTAAACATCACAAAAGCTTGTAAAACTGCATTAAGCTCTACCTTTGAGCTGATTGTTTGGGTACTAAAAATGTAAAAGTTTGATCAGGGGTAACTATTGCTGCTGTACCATTATTTGACCCATCAGTGAATATATTTTGAGAGGCTTGGGGAAAGCCGGTGGTGGCAGTTGAGGCTCTGAGGGTTTTTCCTGAGAGGCTGTTTTGTTTGGCGTGTGTGGTTCTAAAAATAAAGTTAGTTTCTTTTGACAAGTGGCTCCTGATTGTGCCCAGCCAGACTGCGGCAAAGAACTATGTAATGTTTTGAACAACCAACAATAAAAAATTAAAAAAAAAAAAAAAGCCAGGCTCCCAGAATGCAGATCCCTCCTCTACTGCTTCTGAGGCTCCCTGGTGGCCAGGTGGAAGCTCTTGACTGCATGCTCAGTCTCCTTACCTAGTGGGTTCATTGTCAAGATGAAATAACATAACGTCCAGGACATGCTGAATTCACATATGCCCCCTGGTATTCCCCAGTTGAGTGCCTTCTCTCCCTTGTTTAAGCATCTTTTTTCATTGCGACTCTCTGAAGAACTCCTCTTGTTTTCTCTTGTGTTCTAGCTGTTCTTGCACATGTGGTATTTTCCTTCACAGAAGCTTCTCCTGACACAGAGATTTGCAAATGCAGACTTTGGAATCATGTGCCAGACTTGAACAGAAACATCGTAGCACAGGAGCAAACATTGCTGAGATGGTTTGGGGAGAGGTTCCTATTCTGAGGATGGGTTGGGCACTTTGGGAGGGCTTGAAGGACAGGACAGGGTGGTGCAGAAACACAATGAAAAACAAAACAAAGCAAAACTGTGCAACATAGCATTTCATATCATGAGCTGCAACTTCATAAGTTTTCCGACCAGAGACCAGGAGTAGAAGTCAGCCCTCCCCTGTGAAGCAGAAGCCCCCATTTGAAGGGAGCAAGAGGCAGTCCCAAGCAGAAGGCCACAAAGGGTTGGTATCTGAAGAAAAGGACCTGCCCCTTTCTGTGACAAGGATCCTCTGGAAAGGCATTTGTGATAAACACGGCTGTGTTTCTGCAATCTGGCTTTTATCCCTTCAAAGGTTCCTGAGCTAGAGGCAATTAACAGAGCTGGGGAAGCCAAGAAAGTGCACTGTGAATATAAACAGGTTGACAGGACATTTATACAGCAGCATTGAGCAGAGTCCCTGATCCCCAGGGTGGCGCAGGTCACTGGGAGAGTTTGAGACTGAGAGATGCCTTCTTTTGTCTTACCACTGGGATGAGTTTCCTCCACCAGGCATGAAGGATCCTGGCTGGGTTCCAGGAAAGACTGGAGGACTGGCTGGGATTGCAGAGTAGTGATGGACAAAGGAACCTCCACATTGCTCCCACCCAGGACCACCAAAGCTCCATTACAGGGAGCAGAAGTCACTGTCTCACTTTTCCCCCTCAACTTTACTAAGATGCAATGGACCATCTCCAGCCCCTGATAACCACCATGTCTTCTTCCACGAGTTTGACTATTTTAGATCCCACATGTGCGAGAGATCATACAGAGTCTGTTTTTCTGCATCTGGCTTCATTCACTTAACATAATGTCCTCCATGTTTGTCATGTTGTCACAAATAGCAAGTCTTTAAACCTGAATAATATTCTAGTGTGTGTGCGTTATTTTTTTTTATCCATTCATCCATTTGTTTATCCATTCATTTATCAACATTGAGGCTGTTTCCACATTTTGGCTTTTGTGAATTACGGGACAGTGAACATGGGACACAGGTTAATGATCAGGGAAAGGCACATCGAAACCCCAACAATATATTACCTCTCACCTGTTGGAGCAAATATTGTCAGAAAGACAAAAGATAACCAGTGGGTGAGGATGCGGAGGGAAGGGAACCCTGCACACTGTTGGTGGGCATTTGAATCCATACGGGCTACATTTTGAAAAGCGGAATGAGCTGACCAGTGCTCACTGGATATACATGGTCAGGATTTGGGGACGATGGAGCTGATCCTCTATCTTCTCTCTCCCTGTGCACCAGCCAGGCTGGATCTTCGCCCTGGAAGAGGGTTATAAAGGTCTCAGAGAATACCATGTGTGTCCATGCCTCAGGGACAGGCTGACCCGAGATCCAGCAGGGGCTCTTCCATCTACTCACTGTCTTGGCAAGGGACTGACTTCTCCAAGACTTTTTTCTCTTTCTGTGAAATGGAAATAAAGTGAATACGCCCTCACTGGGATTGTCTTTAGGAATAATAATGAAAGAAGCACAATCCCAGTGAAGGAGGGCCTCAGACCATTACTGAGACATGAATCCATGTTCTGGGGTGGAGGTGGAGGGGCCCCGTGTCAGAGAAAGGAAAGGAGTTTTGATCTTCTGAATCCAAGTGGAAGGAGTGTCTGGAAGCCCCACACCAGGCTTCCCTGTTTGAAAAGAGAACGACAACTTGAGAGAGGATGGGTCTGTCCACTATGTTGACCATAGGGATGGTTTCAGAGTCGTATATGTGTATCAGAACGCATCAAAGGACGTATTTTAGGTGTGATTTATTGTGTTTTATCATATCTCAATAAAGCTGTTAATTAACTTCTAGAGCAGCAACAAAAAGACCATAATAATAGTGACTTTCAGGCAGATGAGTACCTGGGCACGCAGGTGGGTAAAAACACCCTAGGAGACAACACTGTTCCCACGCGACTATTCCTCGAGCTTTCCCTTATACCCTCCTTTCTCTTCCCCTTCATCTGTCCAGATCCTTCATCTTGTAAGCCCCAGATCAAATCCCACCTCCTCTCAGAAGCCTCCGGAGATCGCTCTGTCTCACTGCAACAGCATCCCTACACACGGCCTGGCCCCCGCACACCATCCTTTCTCAGATAAAGCCTTGTGACAACTCGCGTGCTCATGTTCCGTTACTTAAGTCGTGTAACTCGTCCTGTGTTTGTGACTATGGGAAGCTTTTGGAGAACAGGAGACATCTTTTGTGTCTTTGAGCACATAGCGCTTGATGACCATTTCCTGACAGATGATAAAATTCATAGTTGGAACCCCTAGGCTCAACTCGCATCCCCATAGGCTCTGAAGAATGACCCCAATGCATTGGTGTCAAAATGAGCAGGCCATCTGCAGAGCCTTGACCATTCAGCATTATTTCCATGGGAGGATGTTGCTGAGCTGTATTCCTTGTATAAATCCACAATGGCGTTTCACTCACATCTGCAGGCTCTACGACTTGAAAAACCCAGATGCCTGGTTTGATGGCAGCAGACTTTAAAACATACATTCCTGCTCTTTCTACATGTGAACAGCATCCTTCTGGGTCCCAGCCAAATCTGGGCCCCGGATGCCGAGGGCTTGGGAACAGCTCCCCAGCCACCCCAGCAGCAGCCCTGATCCTGCTCCATTATCCTAAGCCTCTCCTTGTCTGTTTGCTTGTTTTCCGTTCTCCTGGAAGTCTAATGGCGTCTGTATCACATCTCCCAGAAAACGAATGACATTTATAACCCCTTTCTGCTCCTGCAAATGGAGGGGTTATCTTAGGAGTCCTCCCATCCCTGCTCTGTGAGTTCAGGCAGCCTCCTAGCCCGGTACCCTTGGCATCAGCTCCAAGGCTGGTGCTTTGGCAGCCAGGGAGCCTCAGACCCCAGCCTCCACATGAGGCCACAGCTGAGAGTTAGCAGGACAGCTCTAAGTATCCTCTTCCTGTTCCAGAGGGCTGCTGGCAGGTTTCTGAAAACCTGCAGCTTATTTATGTCTGTAGTCCTGGGCTCCCTGCCACACTCGTTTCGGACGAGAGTAGCCCTGCTTGGTATTAGTATATAAGCTTAGTTTGGGCCGCTCCTCCCACCCCTGCCGCCATGAGAGTAAGAAGCTGGGCTGTGTCACGGCCAGCTCCGGCCAGGGAAGCAGTCACAGGGTTCGCCTTGGGAAGCAGCGAGGAGTGGTTTGTTTTTCTGGTGTCTAACGGAAGACAGAGAGCAGCTAAAAATACAGGAATATTTAGGAGGAAATGCTTTTCCCCCAAAACAATCTTTTGTGGTTTTGTGTTTCCCTGAAATAATAGTTCTTTGCTGGATGAATTGTTGACACTAGCATTTCCTAAGCTGGGTTCCATGGTTTCAACAGGTGTTTCTCCAAAAGCAAAAAAGTGTAGGTAGAGTGTTCCATGATCAAAATGGTCCAAGAAAGAAAGGTCTGGAGAACAGAGGCCCTAGGCCCAACTCTAGAGACTGGGGAGAGAGAACTTCAGAGTCTGACCTGATTCAGACCAGGCAGAGAGGAGCCGGGTTGCAGAGCAAAGAGACCATCAAATTAGAAAATAAAAATATCCAGGGAGAAAAGACTTGGAGTCTGGTGTCATGAATTTTTACTTGAATTCCATGAAAATGTCATCCTTTCTTATTGTCTTCAGGGGAAACATTGAAAGCCGCCTTCTCATCTGTCTCCTTCAAAGCCCGTAATTGCCTGTGCAATAGGAATAATAATAATGACACACATTTCCATGCACACACACATGCTTCTTCCTTACTAGGAGAGCCTGATTTTTGTGTAGGTGTCCCTTCCAACACACCTGTGGTAAGGAAAAAGGACCCCTCACCCTACCCAGTAGGTGGATACTGGTTAGTCTAAGCTAACCATAGTACAGTTGGCCCTCTATAGCCTTAGGTTCTACATCCATGGATACAAACAACTGCAAATCAAAAATATTCAGAAAAATATCACATCTGTACTGAACATATACAGACCTTTTTTTTGCCATTTTCCCCTACACAAAACAATATAACAACTATTTATATAGTATTAGGTATTATTATTTTTACATTTTATTAGGTATTATTAGTGATCTAGAGATAATTTAAAATATATGTGTTTTATGTAAATACTATGTCATTTTATATAAGGGACTTCAGCATTCTTAGATTTGGGTATCCTTGGAATGTTCTGGAACCAATCCTCAACAGAAACCATGGATCATTTGGGCCTGGTCATGTCACTCAGTGCTAACAAACGAACCTGGAAAGAAATCCTTTCAGGGCTTCTGGAAAGGTTTTTCTCTGTAATAAATAGACATCGACACAGGGGAAGAAATGGGAAATGCCCAGTTCTTTCTTGAGTGTGGTTTTTCTTTTTCCTTTTTATAGGCACATCATAATTATACCTAACAGCTTGTTGTTACACATTCATACATGCAACAATACAATAGGACAATTTCATTCCCCGTCCTGGGTGTGGTTTTTCTGCATGAAACTTTAGGAACTTCACAACCATTGTGCAAGTTGGCAGGGGGAGAGGGACATCTGAGTCCTTGATGACGGAGGTGAGTGGCCAAATTAACCCTGGAAGCACTCACTCCTCTCTGTCCTTTATTCAGTGACATGATCAACTCCATTTCTGCTTAGGTTGCTTTTAGTTAAGTCTTCAGTTCCGGACAGTCAGCTGTTTCATGGTGAAGAGTCTTGCCCTTGAGAGAACACATCTAACAACTTGATCCATGATGCACCCACCCCAGTCCTTGGCCAAACTCCTGGCTTAGCCCTTTCTGAGTATCCAGTTTGATGTTCAGGCTGCCCCTGAACAATGCCCTCCTGCACCTACCCACTGTTCTCTCCTTCGTATTTGTCTGTCCCCTGCCTACTGACTTCAGTCATACATTTACCATGGCACAGGAGTCTGACAGCTTTGGGTTTCATCCTGACTCTACACATTTGTTACAGTCTTTATAAAAATATTTTCACTTCTCTGAACTTATTTTCTCACCTGTACATCAGGAAAAATACCTCATCTCTATTTTAAAAATTAAAGTGAGGATAATGAAAAGAGCTTACCACCATGCCTGACATCCAGTAAGTGGTCTGTCAATCATAGTCTGAACAATGACAGACCCTGTCTCAAAAGAAAAAAATAAAACGGACTGGGGATGTGGTTCCGTGGTTAAAGGCTCCTGAGTTCAATCCCTAGTACCAAAAGAAGAAAAGAAAATTAATAATTGCTTTGGATTGACTATGCTTCCCTAATTCAGATTGGTCATTTGAACAGTGTGTTGGGGTGGGGGGGGGCATTGCTATTACTTAATGAAGCCCTCAGTGAGGAATGGCAGTAATAATGCACTGCCTTATAATTTTATATTTTTCTAATTATTTTTGTTACTTTGTTTACTCCCCCCAAAGAATCCTTTTTTTTTAATTGGTTGTTCAAAACATTACAAAGCTCATGACATATCATCTTTCATACATTTGATTCAAGTGGGTTATGAACTCCCATTTTTACCCCAAATACAAGTTGCAGAATGACATCGGTTACACATCCACGTTTTTACATAATGCCATATTAGTAACTGTTGGATTCTGCTACCTTTCCTATCCCCTACTATCCCCCCTCCCCTCCCCTCCCATCTTCCCTCTCTACCCCATTTGCTGTTGTTCAATTCTCTCCCTTGTTTTTTTTTTCCCCTTTCCCCTCACAACCTCTTATATGTAATTTTGTGTAACAATGAGGGTCTCCTTCCATTTCCATGCAATTTCCCTTCTCTCTCCCTTTCCCCCCACCACTTGTCTCTGTTTAATGTTAATCTTTTCCTCATGCTCTTCCTCCCTGCTCTGTTCTTAGTTGCTCTCCTTATATCAAAGAA